GCCCATGAACTCCCAATGGGAGGTTATTTAGGTGTCAACAAAACAAGTGACAAAATTATGAGACATTTCTTTTGGCCAAAAATTAGGCAAGACATTTCTCAGTTTTGTAAAACTTGTCATACCTGGCAGTTAGTCGGAAAATCTAACCAGAAAATTCCTGTTGCTCTTTTGAAACCTATCCCAGCTTTTCAAGAACGTCCTGAGGACACGGTCTCATGGGTATTGTTACCCATTATGGGATATCTAATCAAAAGAAAATAAAAAAAGAAAGAAAAAGACAGAAAGAGAGAAAAAAAGACAGAAAGAACGAAAGAAACAGACAGAGAGAAGAAAGAAAGAAAAAGATAGAAAGAACAAAGAGAAAGAAAGAAAGAAAGAAAAAGATGGAAAGAACAAAGAGAAAGAAAGAAAAAAGAAAATACAAAAAAGGGCTGTTAAATTGCGATTTATCATTATGAGAATATGGTTTGAAGATAATCCATGTCATAAGGGTTGATAACATTTGTGCCGATGCACTCTCACGTGCTATGTAATTTTATGATTATAATGTTATTTGTATTGGTTGTGTTCCACACTGTAATTATTATTGAAATTTTGTAATCTTTGGATAATGTATTATATTTAATGTATTGTTGTCAATGTTTATATACATAATATTTTAGTTAAAAATTGGCGTTAGACAATTTTTAATTCTCTAAGGAGGTAGTTGTAACGAATTTGTTGTTATATATTTATTTTAATGTCAACCTTTGTTTAGATTAAATTTATATTTAAAAACATACATAGCTTATACTGTTAAATATATATTGCGAAACTCCCACCTATTCTCCAACTTTGTAGAAGATTCTCGAGAGTATGAATCAAAAACATATGTATGTACGTAAACACTTAAATTTGTATTGTTACATAATCTGAATTTTCTAGAAAGCCTCCACACGCCTATAACTATAACCAACGCGACGCGCCAGAAAAGAGAGTATCTATTATTAATTTGCTATAGTCAATGTGCTATAAACTTCGGAAGATATAACTGTGATTGTCATAACAATTATCAATCGGAAAACTTCAAATATTTGACCAGGAACCTTTACAAATTTCGAACATTACAAATCGTTTAACTTCAGTGGATTCTCATCGGACATTAGTATTTTTACGAAAACATGACTGATGTCATCGGTGAAACTTGACCTGTAAGCGGCGTGTGATTAGCGTGAACTATAGTGCTAGCTAG